TGTTCCTGGCCTGTTGGAGCTAAAGAATTAGCTGTGATTAGCAAGGAGCCAGCACACCAAGGTGAAATCGTCTGGGACAAGTGTCCTCAGAGCACAGAGAAGCTGTGCTCCAGAGGCGGCAAGGCTGTACCTCACACTGGCGCCATGAGAGTCCGGGAGAGGGCATTGGTGAAGGCGCATGCTCAGTGGCAATTGACTGAAGGAGCCAAGCCGAAAAGCTGAGGCTTGGCCCCACGAAGAGAGCCTCTGAGAGGCTGCAGCAGAGACTCCGGTGCTGTGGAGATGTCTGTACCATGGGATGAGCACCAGGAACAGCAGCGGTGGGGACGACAGGCTGTGTGCGCTGCAGAGGGCCGACTGGACGTGACCCAGGCCCATGGAGGAGCCCAGAAAATGGTGAGTGGATCCCAGATATTTGGACATTGAATTATTTGCACTGTTGCAGTTTGGTTTTACCTTGTTCCAATGGTTACTGTGCTTGGTTCTTTCCTCTTGGAAAAAGAGCTTTTTTGATTTTACAGGATCCCACAGCTAAGACTTTGAATTTTTAAAGTGATTTTGGAGTTTTACAGAGGCTTTGGATTTTATTTATTATAATTGTTGTTTTTCAGAACATGGTTTCTCTGTGTAGCTCTGGTTGTCCTGGAACTCCCTCTGTAGACCAGGTTGGCCTCAAACTCAGAGATCTGCCTACCTCTGTTTCTCAAGTGCTGGGATTAAAGGCATTCGGACCGCTACTGGCTCAGAGACTTCAGATTTTTTTTTAAAAGATTTATTTATTATGTATACAGTATTTCTGCCTGCATGTACACCTGCAGGCCAGAAGAGGGCTCCAGATCTCATTACAGATGGCTGTGAGCCACCTTGTGGTTGCTGGGAATTGAACTCAGGACCTCCGGAAGAGCAGTCAGTGCTCTTAACCGTTGAGCCATCTTGCCAGACAAATCAAAGGACAGGGCAGAAGGTGCCGCCTGGCTGGTGCCCTGCACCCCATGGCACCCCATGCTCTGGGGTGCTCCCCATTGGAGTTGGGCTCCCCAAGTGGGAGGCGCTGCGCTGAGTGGAGGGTCTCTGGAGACCAACTTTTCCTGAGCCGAGGGGCTCGGCCTTGTCCCCTCAGGGGCTGTGTCCGGGTGATGCAAACAGCTGACATTTGAGGAAAGGGGTAAAAATACAGCTAAGTGATGAACAGAGGAGTCAGGGTTCAGCTTTCGCTTTTTTCTAACACAAAACCAGATGGAACCAAAATGAAATTCCTTCTGACCTCTGCAGCTCAGAGGCCGGGCTTTTCCAGCTGCCATGTGCGCGGTGGTCTCAGTACCTGGCACCCAGCCTGCATCGCTGTGGCAGGGATTTAGGTTCTGGGCTGGGGGTGGGGGTAGTCTAGCTTTGCTCTCCTAGCACCGAGAGGCCGAGGTATCCACAGCACCTCCTCCAGAGCACGCACAAGCCAAGCCGGAGCCCCTTCCACACTGAGCAGCGTCGCCCAAGGCCTAGGAGGCCTGCGTTAGTCTCCTTTCTCTTCTTCTCTCACCCAAATGTGGGGAACTTATCGCGGGCCTTCCTGTTGCAGCAGTAATCCTCACAAGGGTTGTTCAGGGCCACAGTTAGTGAGCGACGGGGCAGTGCCACCCTGGGCTGAGGTCCTGGGCTCTACAGAAAGCGGGCTCAGGAAGACAGGAGGAGCAAGCCAGTGAGCAGCATCCTCCATGGCCTCTGTATCAGCTCCTGCCTCCAGGTTCCTGCCCTGACTTCTTCAGTGATGAACAGTGGTGTGGACGTGTAAACCGAAGAAACCCTTTCCTCCCCAGCTTGCTGCAGGTCTTGGGCCACAGCAGAGGACCACTTGCAGGAGTCAGGCAATCTTTCAACCTGAGTCCCAGGGACTGACCAGATTCCAGCTTCAGCAGCAAGTACTTTTCCACACTGAGCCCCTCTCTCCAGCTCTTGGCCGTGGTGTGTCATCACACAAGAACCCTACCAAGATACCTGCTGATGGGGGAATGAATGTGTCCCCAGCCGTCAACCCCCCACAACTCCCAACACTGAGAGACGAATTCTCCCTAAGCCTCTCAGCCTGGCCTCATTGAGCTGTAGCACAGGCTAGCCTTGAACTCCAGACAGACTTCTCCCCACCTCAGTTTCTCTCCCCAGGAGCTGGGGCTGGAGGCCTGTGCCATCTGGCCCATACTTTTACTGAAGAACAGAGCCTCACTTCACCCTGCCTACCTGGGTCTCCCTTAGACACCAGAACCCCCAATCCATACCCACCTGAAGGGTTCCCCATCCATCAGGGACCAGAACTTCCCCCTTCATCTCCATCTGGAGGATCCCCCATCCATTAGACATCAAAACCCCACACTCTATCCCCGTCAGAAGGGTCCCCATTTTTACACAGCAGAACCTCAGCCTCCATCCCGGCAGAGGGTCCCCCATCAATTAAACACCAGAAACCCCAGCTGCTTTCATGGGGCGCCAGAACCCCCATCCTCTCTCCGCTAGGAAGGTTCCTCAAGGTCTCAAGTCCTCTCTGAGGTCAGTCCCCTCCCCCAGCTGTCCTCCAGTCCCCACCCTCCAAGACCCAGGTCTGTCCTTACAGGGTCCCTGCCCCGCCCTCCCACGGACCCCAGGGACCGTCGCCCCGCCCAGAGCCCACCCCGCTCCCCGTGACTCATGGACCGCGTCCTGCAGGGTTCGGGCACCCAGCCGCACGCGGGGCTCGTTACCTGGACGACGGGCCGGCGCCCTGCGCGAGACCGGAAAAGCCGCTGGCCGCCATGTCCGCGTCCTCCCCGAGCCCGCGGGAGTGACGTCACGGCCGTGCCCCCGACGCACCGCCCGGGCCCCGCCCCCTCGCGAACCTGCCGTCCCTAACCTCTGAGCGCCTCCGTCTGGCCCTGCCCACGTGCCAAGCCCCGCCCACTCTCCAGGACCCACCACCCCTAACCCCTGAGCGCCTCCGTCTGGCCCCGCCCTCCCATCCAAGCCCCGCCCTCCCGGGCCCGTCTGAGGGCCTTCTCTTGTCCCCCTCACAAGCCCCCCTGCTCAGCCTGCTTGCCCTGGGCCCTGTGATGATGAGAGGACCCGCCATGCGCCCCGGGGACCCGACTCCAGATGTGTGGCCTGCTGGCAAGCCGCTCACTTACTGGTCTACATCTCCAGCCCACGTCCCCAGAGAGGGCACACGGGTGGCACGTGACCACCCCCGTCCTGAGCGCCCGTGGCTTCCAAACCCTACCTAGGCGAGGAGCCCCACGTCTTCCTAGAAGGCAGGGAGGCTACGGCAATTTCTCTGGTTTACGTATTTTCTTTCTTTTTTTAAAAAAATATTTATTTATTTATTTACTATGTATACAATATTCTTTCTGTGTGTATGCCTGCAGGCCAGAAGAGGGCACCAGACCCCATTACAGATGGTTGTGAGCCACCATGTGGTTGCTGGGAATTGAACTCAGGACCTTTGGAAGAGCAGGCAATGCTCTTAACCTCTGAGCCATCTCTCCAGCCCACGTATTTTCTTTTCCTATTGTGTGTGCCCCTGGAAGTCGCCAACCACGGCAGACGTACACACGGGGACTTGTTCTAGAAGGGTGCACACTGATTTATCCCTATTGAAGGAAACACAAAATGGAGCATTACTCAGCCCAGAAGAAAGAGGGAAACCTGGAGACACGTTCCAACGGGGATGGGTGGCCCTTGAGAACAGCACGTCAGCACCCTGAGCCAGACCCAGAAGGATGCACAGCCAGCGACTCTGCCCTCACACGTCAGTTACAGAAAGTCGGAAATCCGAGAGCGCGGGCAAAGGGCCTGTGGCAGGAGGAACTTAACGTTCTCATAGGATGCAGGGAAGAGCCTCGGAGGTCTATGAGGTCATGGAGGAAAAAAAAAGTACAACAGATTGACAGGGTGGGGGTCTTAAACCCCAAGCATGTATTCTCTCATATTTTGGGGGACCAAAGTCTGGGCAGGATCGGCTCTTTATAGACTCAGGATCCGTCCCTGTGGCTCTTTACCTTCTGGAAACTATTGACAGTTCTCATGAAACCATCATCAGCTTAGCCTCCATCTTCCCAGGATCTCTGCCTGGGGATTCTAGGCGGGGCCGCACCCTGACCACGCCCCCAGTCCTCTTTACATTTTAGTGGGGCGGACTGTGTGCCAATGCGCGTGCCGAAGACAGCTGCTGACGTCACGCGTCTTCCCCAATGGTTCTCCCCAGGCTCCTTCTGCAAGCACACACAGTCACGCTTGCAGAAGCCTTGCAGAAGGCGTCCTGGCCCCTGCTATTTCTCCTCACGTTTGCAAAGCAAGAGCTTTTACCCACTGAGCCATTCCCACGAACCCCTCTTCTCACTTCTGAGATGGGGTCTCGCTCAGGCTGACCTTAGCTTCACTCTGTAGTCCTGCCTGACCTCGAGCTGCAATCCCCTGCCTCAGCGCACTCAGCAGTTGAGTCCAGGATGCAAACTCTAGTCTTCCCTCAGCAACTAGAATTCCTCTGGAAACCTGCAGGGGGCGCAGCTCCTGCGGCAGCGCAGACCCAAGCCATCTAAAACAACCAGCTAGGTCCGCGGCACCCCAAAACCCAGCTTCATCCTGACTTACCCCTGAAGGGGGATCTGAAAACCTCCATTTCTCTGCCCTTAAAGATGGTTTCAAGGGCGCCTCCCCCAGCCCCCGCAACCAAAGAACCCCGCAGGCTCCCCGCCCCCACCCCCGTAAGGAAGGAACCAGGCCACGGCTGTTTGTTCATTTATTTCTCTCTTGTTGTGATTTTGCATAAGTGCGACGCACCATTTCCGAGTTTTTTTTTTATTTTTTATTTTTTATTTTTTTTTGCACCTGCTCAGGATATGGCTGGGAGATATGCTTTTCCCTCAGCCAATCGGGAGAGGAGGATGCGAGCAGGGGGGCTGGAACTGTCTATCAGGCCTGGGCCCGCCCCCTGCACACAAAAGCAGCTTCCTTCACTATCTGGGGTCAGGCAGAGCCTCTGTCATCCGGGAAGGGGGAGAGCCAAAGCCGCGCAGGCCCGGGGCTGCGATGGCGGGGGACACGGAGACCGTAGGGGGGAAGGGGTGCTGCTACTGACCCGGGCACCCCCTTCTCCAGCGGGGCCAGGGAGCTGGGGTGCCGCTGGCCACGTCGCCCTGGGTGACCTTCCTTGGATGTGGACCTGCCCCTGAGCATCCTTCCGCCAGGCCCCGGCCTGGGTACCACCCGCGAGATGCCCGCCTGCATCCGCACCCAGCCCGCCTTTGTGTCTCAGTGACGGCGCGGAGCCGCCGCCGAGGTGAGTGGGCCTTTAGCACTCTGGCAGTGTAAATTCTTTTTCCCCCCGCTCGCAGCCCAGCTGGGGGAAAGGTTTATCCGGGAGACGCTGGCGGCTCCCGGAATGGCTGCTGCGATGGGGCGAACAGCCGGGGCTTGATCCGAGGTGGAGAATGAAGAGCCCCAAGGATTAAAACCCCAGCTCTGAACCGGAGCATCCTGGGGGCGGTAAACCTCCCATGCGGTGTCGGGTGTTTTCTATTTATAACCCTGACTGCGGGCATGGAGACATCAAAACTGCATATACATTGAAAAGGACAGATTTTTAGCAGTAGCTATACGGCCAGGGAAGGACCTGCGCTGTCTTTCTGGAGTTGCCAGGGATTTCTGATCCCCCGCTGTCGCCAGCGCCCAGGAGCCCCACCACAACCTGTGTTTGGAAGTGTGTAGAAGGGGTCCTTCCCCTTTCCACCCGGCTTGGCTTGGCAGGAGGGACCGGTGTCCCTCTCTGCACAGACACAATGGACTGGACTCAGCTGCGCTGGGGGAGGCCTGGAACACACAGGGGAGTCGTGTTTTCTCCTGCACTGTGTGTGTCGCTCCTCCATGAATGGGTGATGACATTCCAGTAGGCCCGCCTCCCCTCGGCTCACACCTGCAGGTCCACCGCGGGCTGGGCTGCAAGAGACACACCCCGGTCAGCAGCTGCAGATGGCCTGGTGGTCACTGACAGCTGGGACAGGCAAGTGGCCCTTGTCTCCGGATCAGGGAACAGATTAGGGATGGCCTCCCGTGACCGGACCCTGGAATCTTGTTGTTAAGATTTTTTTAAAAAAAGGGGGGGGAACCATGATTTCACAGATGTGGCCCTGTGGGTGCCGAAGTTTGGTCTGGGGGGCGTCCTTAAGTTGCGTGTGGGGTGTGTGTGTATCGCAACACTGGCCTCTAACACAAAGCGCGTCCATCCATCAGACAGTCTGGGGAGTCCATACAGCACCCGCATGGAGCGCAAGATGGTAACTGCTGGCCAAGCTTGATTCCCGACACTGGCAGAAAAGCCTAGTGCGGTGGCATCTGGGAACCCGGAGCTGTTGCCATGCCGACTATGCTCCCCGGAACTCTGCATACTGTGCACACACCCCACACACAGGCAGAACAGGTGACCAAAGTTGGGCAAGGTGGCGCACACCTTAAACCCCAGCTCTTGGAGGCTGAGGTGGGACTACCTGTGTTCCAGGAGAGCCATGGTTATCCAGACAGAGCCTTACCTCTTCGCACACATGCATGCACGCACGCACGTGCGTGCCTGTAATCACAGCCTGACCCCAGACATACAGGCAAGCAAAACACACACACACACACACTAAAGTTGGAGGACAAAAAAGTAATCCCATACCTGGGGAGGCAGAGATCGGGGTCCCGGGATCTGTGCTTAGCTTCAAATGTAGAGAATGACCTCTGACCTCTATTGGCATATATGTACCCGTGAATACATAAACAACTGGTTTTTATGGAGTGAGGGAACCAGGGGTGATAGGCTCGGAGAACACCCGGAGAGGCCATGACTTATTCAACCCATTTGCAGATGAAGTATGGCGGTTAGGACACACGCTGAACCCCTGGTTGTCTCTTCCACTTTGTGGGTCCTTCCGGCTTGGTGGAAGCTGCCCTTTCAGCAGCCCGGGACTGGAGGGAGGGTGGACTGGAGCAGGTAGAAGCAAGTGAGAGAGCAGTCCCTCTCTGGAAGTGACTATCACAACGCGGAACGTTAGTCCTGATACACATTCGTACACAAACGCCTGCACTTTTTCTTTCTTTCTTTTTTAATTTCCACCACAGTTGAGATGCGAGGAAAAGGAAGGAGATTGGGTCAGCTTGGTTCCAGGGCTGCTCTAGAGAAGGTGGGCTTGAGAGATCTCAGTGGAGGGGGTCTGTGTCTGGAGCTCAACTCCTCGCCTGAGTTAATGCGCAGGCCGGGGCGTCCTAACCCCCTTGTGTGTCCTCCTGTCGTGGGATGGCTCGGTCATACAGGCAGACCGGTGTCATAGGTGGTGGCTGTAGCCATGGCTGTCTAGATCACTCTGTCTTTTTTTCCTCAGATCCTCTTCTGAGGTCAGCCAAGCTTCCAGCCGCCCTCTCTTTCCAGCTCCCATGGGGACCACGGAAGCCACGCTGAGGATGGAAAACGTGGATGTGAGGGATGAATGGCAGGACGAGGATCTACCCAGGTGAGGGCGCCAGTGTCCGCGTTATTGGGACTCGCGGCTCCCGGCCGCTTCCACAGATGCTGGTGGTGACAGAGCCTTCTGGAACCTCTTCCTTCAAGACTCCCAGACAGTGAATTCCTGTAGCCAGGCTGGGAATGATAACCTGGCCTCGCAACTGCAGCCCAGCTCCCACAGAGGATTCTGGACAACGAGTTCTGGTCAACCTGGGGTGCAGAACAAGACCCTGTATCGAAAGGAAAATGGAGGGACGTGGTCAGGGTGGAGCCCTGCTTAGAAACCCCTAGCAGGAGCTGGGGGCGTGGTCAGGGTGGAGCCCCGCCTAGAATTTCCATTGAGGGCTGGGGGCGTGGCTCTTCTGAATGGTATCTTTCTATATTCCTGAACCATCCTTTCCAAGGGAGAGCTGAGTTGAGGCATCACTGTCTTGATCTGATGGCATTTTATTTTTCTTCTTTTCTCTCAACCCCTTTGACTGAACCTGCCATCTGCATTCCTCCTGCTGCGTGGTTCCCGGGGTTTCCACAGACCTCTTCCTGAAGACACAGGGGTGGGGCTGCTGGACGGCGCCGCGGAAGACTCCTGTAAGCTTACAGAGTGCACAGAAGTGCGAGTTTGTTTTCAGGGTGCAGATGGTTGTCTGGGGTTGCATGCAGGGTGAGGCGTCTAGCGGGGGCTGTCGTGCGAGGCTCAAAGGGGTAAGAGAACACCCACATGAACACTGCGCGGGTCTTACTGTGTGTCCTTTAGCCAGTTTCCAGATGTCTCTGTGCCTCTAACCCCGAAGAACTAACAAGCTGGATGGCTGAAACCGGGGGATGGCTCAGTATGTAGCGCACTTGCCGTTCTGCTCTAAGGACCTGAGTTCAGATCCCAGAACCTCAGGGCGGGGATATCAGACATGGTGGAGTCGTTTGCAACTTTAATACTGCAAAGGAGGATGCCTGGTACTCTCTGCTCCCTGGGCTGCCTTCATCAGTGATCGGCAGGGTCAGGGAACGAGGTGGAGGGGGACTGAGGAAACACTTGAGGGCGCTGCTCTCTGTACTTGCACATGCCGTACACAAACCTTTTCACTTAGAAAAATACGTATTTAAATTTGTGTCTGGATATGTCAGGAGTCCGAGAGGCAGGGGGATTGCCGGAAGTTCCAGGAAAGCCTCAGTTGTGGAGACATACCTTATGATTAGGCCTAGTTATAGGGATGACGAGCTCCTGGGGCCAAGGAAGAATTCTCCAGCAGACACTTGTCAGCATTGACCGCCAAGGTCCTTGGTGTGGCCTGCTTGTAGAAGCAGACCTAATTGTGTGCCCATGCCCCCATGTGCGTCTTCCTTCAGATCTCCCCTCCTCAGTGCTGTGTAGTTCTTGGACTGGAATTCAGAAATTTTTTTTTATTTTTTTATTTTTTATTTTTTGGATTTTTGAGACAGGGTTTCTCCGTAGCTTTTGGTTACTGTCCTGGAACTAGCTCTTGTAGACCAGGCTGGTCTCGAACTCACAGAGATCTGCCTGCCTCTGCCTCCCGAGTGCTGGGATTAAAGGTGTGCGCCACCACCGCCCGGTTTGGAATTCAGAATTTAATACTGAGGCATTCCAATGGCCCCTCACTGAGGGATTCTAGGTGGGGCTCCTCCCTGACCACACCCCCAGCTCTGTTTTACATTTAATTCACCAGGGTCTTGCTAATTGTCCTTGCATACTGAACTCCTGTGCTCTGGTTGGCCTCAAGGCGTGGCAATCCTACTCTCTAAGACTCCCACGTGCTCAGGTAATCAGTTATCCTGAGGACACAGTGAGTGACTCAAACTCCAGCAGAGGCTCCTTCCCCATGCAGGGAACACCACACCCCATCCCGTCCATCTTAGAGCCCCAAACGTTATCCGAGCACCAAAGGGGAGATTTGGTCCTCAGCCAAGCGTTTGAGGCCTAAGGTGATGCTGCTGGCACGAACCTGTGCAGTACAGTGACCTCTGGAGGGGCCAGCACGGGGTCCTTGGAAAATGGAGACCTGGAGTTGGCATTTTCTTTGGGCTGGCAATCAATTCCCAAATAAAGACCCAGAGACTTATTAGTTATGAATGTTCGTCTTAGCTTAGGCTTCTCCCACTAATTTTTTTTAAACTTAATTTAATTTCTACTCATTGACATTTTGTAGCAGGGTTCTTTAGACAGGGCTTCTCTGTAGCTTTGGAGCCTGTTCTGAACTAGCTCTGTAGACCAGGCTGGCCTCAAACTAACAGAGATCCGCCTGCCTCTGCCTCCCGAGTGCTGGGATTAAAGGTGTGCTCCACCACCCAGCTTACCTTTCCTTTATGCTGTATGGTCTACTTTCCTGCTTCCTCTGTTTCTGGCTGGCTGGTCCCTGGTATTCCCCTGGCATCTCTTTTTCTTTCTCCCCTGCAGCCTATATTTCTCCTCCTACTTTACTCTTCCTGCCTGGAAGTCCCATCAACACCTCCTCCCTATATATTGGCAATTCAGCTTTTAATTAGACCAATCAGGTGCCTGAGGCAAGCAAGGTAAAACAGCAACACATCTTTAAAGATTAAACAAATATTCTACAACATTTTCACCTTTTGTCTAAATAAAAAAGGTTTTAACTGTATCGGAGTAAGACAATAAGACAAATATCAAGCAACATGCATTCACAATGTCCAGTCCATTTGTATTTGGCAAATTCAAAGGAAACACTCCACTGTGTGTCTTCTTAGTGCACTCACAGTTGTGTGTCTAAGCCACTTTCTATCCTAACCTGTATTACAACGCTAAACCGTCTTTTCAGACCTCAAAGCATTTTCACAGATAAACAATTTAAGCTTTTATGTTTCTTAACCCCATCATCTTTGTATCTCTCATGTAAGTTTGTTTTATGAATTTCCCAACAAGGAAAGCTGTAAATGTAACTACATAGTCTTCAACTCTATCAGAGACCCAGGAAGGATATACTATTACCTGAATAAGTAGGAAGCACAGAGCAAGCGACTTCCAAAACTTTAGAGATGACATGTTGCATGATGTTTTACTCTTTTGGTTTTTTTGGGGGGTGTATGTTGTAATAGGAACAGCAGGGCTGCGCCCCCAGCACCCTGGCCACCTGGCTAGCTTCTGCCCCGAAATAACAACACACAAACTGTATTCATTTAAACAATGCTTGGCCCATTCTAGCCTCTTCTCGGCTAACTCTCGCACCTGGACTAGCCCATTTCTAATAATCTATGTAGCCCACGAGGTGGCTTACCAGGGAAGATCTTAACCTATGTCCATCCTGGGTCGGAGTTCATTGCGTCTGCCTCAGAGAGCAGAGCTATAGAGTCTACCTGGGAGAGGGGAGCATGGCGTCTCTGCTCCAGAGAGCAGAGCTGTCGAGTCTGAGCTCACTTCTTCTTCCTCCCAGCATTCTGTTCTGTTTACTCCTCCCACCTATGTTTTAGCCTATGAGCCCAAGCAGTTTCTTTATTACTTAACCAATGACCTTCCTCCATCATTTCCCCTTTTCCTGTTTAAACAAAAAGGAAAGGCTTTAACTTTAACATAGCAAAATTACATATAACAAAACAGTTATCAAGTAAAAATTACAATAATCTTTATCATAACTAAGAAAAACTATAACTAACTGTTCTTTAACTCCATCAAAGACTCCAGAAAGATACAATATTACCTAAGCAAACAAGAAATAAGCAACTTTCAAACTCTAGAAATGAGAGACATCTTGCTGCCTGGACAGTCACCCAAAGTTCCTCTGTACCATTGGGGCATCCATCTGCAGCCTACAGGCCCATAGTTTCCAGCAGACATTTCCACGAAGCAGGAAATTTCAAAGGCAGTCACTATCTGCTTGTCCTGCAGAATGTCTCACAGACTCTTTCATGAATCAGGAACCCTGAAAGACCATCTCACCATTAGGCAAGTTCAGCAGTCCTCTCTCTGCGGGTTCTCTGTGTCCAGTTTATGCAACAGTCCAGGCAAGAGCAGTTTCTTGCCCAAATGCCTATCCAACTCCATAAGGATCCTCTTCGATGCCCATCTTCTTGAAGTAGATTTGTGCTGCCAGGAGCAGACATGTCTCATTGTCATGAAAAACCCTAAGTTATTAAAACATTAAATAGCATATTTTGTAGTCTTTGAAAGATATGAAGAATGCCTATCTAACAAATATATATCTATATATCTAGAAAATCTAACTAACATAACTATAAATTTGACTATTATTAATGATTATCCATTAACAACCTATATACATTACATTTTTAAATGAACTATACAATCACAATACCTTAATCAATATCAGAAACACATATACATATAACAAAATTGACCTTAAATCCCTATCAATAAAGCAGAATCTATACTAATGCAAATGACTTATACCTATATCATATCCCCCTTTAAATGTAAAAGAACATTTATAAACAATATTTGGGAATATGGGCACAGTTATTTCTCTCCAAACTGCTTCCTGCTGAATGGGGGCGCTGTTATTCAGATATTTCAGGGTATAACCTGTGTGCTAGGTTCATCTGTCGTCAATTGAGTGAAGTAATTTTCTGAAGGTATTCACTGCAACCTTTCAGGAGGGCGTGGTCTATCATACCATATTTGGATAGAAGAAACCCACAGACTCTCATCCTCTGTGAAAACAAAATAAGAAACTCCTTTCCAAAGCATCATGTCCTTAGATCCAAATTTCAAAGTCAAGGCATTTTCAGAATATCTATGTTGGTTTAGTTCAGCAGCATTTATAAACAAATATCTTTTAGCAGCTGTTGCTCTTTTCTCAGCATTCAAACAATTCAAACAGAGCATAATAGCATACAGTATCAAAATTCTCTGTGTATTTTCCATCTTTGTATGCTTTATTTTAACCTCTATTTCGTTTATTTTTACATTTATTTTATATTCTCTGTATCTCTTTGTCCTGGAATAACTCTGTAGACCAGGCTGTCCTTGAACTCGCAGAGATCTGTTTGTCTCTGCCTTCTAGGCACTGGGATTAAAGGTGTGTGCTACCACACCTTGAAGTCACAGAGGTCAATCTCCCTCTGCCTCCCAAGTGTTGGGATTAAAGGTGTGTACTACCACACCCAACTACTCTCTTTCTTCCTTATTTTTGTTTTTTACTTTAAGAACTTTAACTTTTAGTCTGCATATATTTTTAACACTGTAAATCATTTAAAAATTTTCTTTGTCTTTGAATCTCTTTTTACTGTATCTCTCTCTGTTTTTCTGACCACATGAGTCTTTAATTTACCAAACAATCTCAGTAGGACTAAAGCTGTGGCTTTGCCGGCTAGATGTAGCCCATTCCTTAGCTTTTTGCCATTCCAACCTTGTGGCTGAGGTACCGGCCAGAGCCGCATTCAGTGCCACAAGTCTACAGTGTTTCAAGGTCCTTGCCATCAAACAAGCTACAACAGACAACACCCAGTCCTCTCTCTGTAGCTGGCCATCCTGCCTCAAACAGTCAGAGTTTGCCCTGGCAGGACTGCCCAGAAAGCCGGCATTTTAAAAACAACACAGGTTTTTCCCTGCTACTGCTGAAAACGAACAAGCATTCAGTCGGTTTTTATCAACACCATTTAAA